AGACGGATATGGAGGGACTTCCCAAGGCTTACCTCCCGATTATAGACAAACTATAAAGGCTATGCGTTGTTGTCACGTCTAGTCAGTCAGTATCGTTCCTATCCAGTAATGAGTCTTTCTGGCGTGATTTTTTATTATTTTCTAACTTTCATTTTCATGGAATTGATTAATATCCCAATGCGAAAAACGATATAATGTTTTTAAGAAACTATATAATTTAATTCAGAAATGTCCCTATATGTTAGAATAAAATAGATGTTATGGAAAAATTATCATATCTTACCGTTGGTAACGTAATGTGACATTTAGATTATTAAATAATTAATTATTCAATGAAAACTTAAATGAAAACCTAAATGAAAACTTAATTATATAACAACGGTAGGATAATTTTTCTATAATCTACCTTATTTAAACATATAGAAGACGTTTTTGGATTAAATTGAACATATTTGTATATATCATCCTATCGCTTATTTTATATTAAATTAGATAATGTGACAGAAAAGTTTATGTATACAGTTATTTATTCTATCATTTAAATAATATAAGATACAAAATGATAAAACTTTACAGCTTTGTTATGTATGTTGAAATCTGCGAGATAATGATCTGAAGAATGTCACATTATATTGTCAACAATACGATAATTTTTCTATGACATCTGTCTTATTCAAACATATAGGGATTAAATTATATAAGTTCGTATATTTAAACATCCTTTCGTTTATTCCTTTCGATTTATTATCTGTAGTAATTTTAATGTCCGATAGGTACGATAGGTCTTGATAAAAATTATATAGGATTTCTATCAGATTTTTATAAATTTTTGTCATTTTTTTTCTGATTTTTTAAGCAGGGTACGTTCAGATTCCCAAACCACTCCGGCACTTTTTGTTAGGCTCCGCTCATTCATCCAGCGATCACCCACCCAATGACGAATCTGAAAATAGCCTAAGGGCTGCGACTCAGCCGATATAAAAAAATTCGTGTACTTCTTATTTTTATTGTTTCCATTAGAACAACATACTAAAAGTTTATTTAAATCAAAAAGGGGCCATTGGTTGTGTCTCCTTGTTAGTTATGAGCACACTATGTCTACTTGCATCATGCTCTAGGATTATTAGCTGGATGTCACTCTTAAGACTGGTTTCCAATAATCAATGGAGATGCTGGTTAATAATTAGGCCTTTTTTTTTTTAAACTTTTGTACCAGTTCATCCTTTTTTCTCTTCTTTCCTCCTAAAAACTGATGCAAAAAGAACAGGTCTATTGACACTTTTGATAAATTATATATATACATATTTTAATACACTGATTACACAATTTTTACAAAACATGGAGTATGAACGAGATCAGAGAAGAAGTCAGAAAGATCAATAAACAAAAGGTAAGTAGGTTTTCGCCAGAAGTAAGTTTTCACAAGAAGCGAGCTGCTTTTATTTACATATATTATCCTAATCAAAGGTACTATGACTCATTGATGTTCAAGGCCAAGGATGGCGTGATTTTACTTTCATTTCTTATAAGGCAGTGATTCGTTTGCCTAGATTCTTACTCACTCATGAG